ATATGTCTATGTCTATGAGTAAGGTGGTTTATAAATTTTTACAAAAGTATTTTTGAAAGCGGATAAACTCAGAAACGGATAAACCGAGTTGAGTTAGTGAGTACCTGAGGTCATAGTTGACGCGTTCGCCGATTAAATCGCGGCTTTCTCTGACCCGCAACTCATGTATGTACTGTACTTAGATGTATTATGAACGAGTAGCTGGCGAACGGACACACGCCGGCATTACGCCAGCACTATTTTAACCCACCTCAAACAGTTTTACTTTATATGTACATTGTACAATAGAATAGAAGTAAAAGTATTTTAGTTATAAGTTATAGATAAGAATTATTTATAGATAATGTGTTTAAAAGCCATTGTTATGTCTTACGGACGAATTAACTAAATTATCCAAATACTTGGCTTGATCTCAAACCAACTTAACTGGAATTTTCATTCTCTGCATCATATAGATATATATAATATAAACTCACCACAGCGATAGGTACACACCCGGGCAGGTCACGAGTCAAGATAAATTAGCCGTCGAGACAAATGCTTCGCAAAAGAGCCTGAGTTAGCAATGCGGCCTTTCATTTCATGAAATTATTATTACGAATGTCCCCGAGGCAAGTCACGAATTATTTTTCACAAATATTACACGATCTTTAACAAAAAAATATACATATTAATATATCATAGATCCATTGGATACATTTATGAATAAAGTTATATAAGCAATCAATAATTTTAGTTGCGATGATAGAAAGATTTGTTTATATTTAATATGGTTTATTATACACTAATTATACAAATATTCTTAACATTTGTGAAATTCACAAGGCGCGAAGATATTTAATATTTATAAAGAATATTTCAAAATGATAATAATAATTAAAATTATATTGTAAAATATCATAGGATTTAATAAATATCTGTTAACAGTTTTAACAAATATTTATTAACAGTTAATAAATAATTATTCAGTACAGTTTATTAACTATTAATAAATAGTTATTAATGATTAATTAATATTTATTAACTGTTAACAAATAAGGTAAAAGATCCAGTTACTGACACTGGCCTAGTTGATTGACACTTGCAATTTTATTCTATAAAAATAAATTTCTAAAACATTTATCTAAATTATAATTAAAAATTATATTATTAATTATTAGAGATCGATTTGTTTTATTTAAGTTAAATAAAATTGCAAGTTGTCAATAACTGGATCTTTTACCTTATTTATTTAAAATTAATTAAAAAAATAAAATTTTCTTAAAAAACCATTTATCTTAAAATTTATAATTAAAAAATTATATTTATTAATTTATTAGAGTCGATTTGTTTTATTTAAGTTAAATAAAATTGCAAGTGTCAATAACTGGATCTTTTACCTTATTTATTTAAAATAAAAAGCAAAAATAACAACTTTATTTTGACACTATTTATAACCCTATAGCTGAAAGACATGATAATAATTAAATGCACTGAATAAATTAACGTCTTTAATATTTAAAACTATAAAAGATAATTATATGAGCTGTGATAGAATTCGGTATGTTACAATAAACGTTATTATAATGTAAAATAATTAATGCAAAAAATGTATAAAGATAATTTTTGTTTATAAGCAATCTTGATATCATATGACATTGCAAGCGAAACAAATTCAATCAATAAAATATTTATTAACTGTTAATAAATATTTGTTAACTAAGTATTTATTGAACGTTAAAAAATATTTATTAAAATTTAATAAATTAAATAATTGTCATCAAATAAATTAAATTATTAATAGTTAATAAATCCTTCTATCAGTGTGGGATTATCATTAAAACTTTTTTTTTTTTTTTTTTTTATTACTTGCCAGGATTATTTATTTCAGTGATTTTTTATTTTGTTGATTACCGCTTCTGTTGCATCATGAACCGGGGTAAAATGTTCATACATGTATATAATGCATATACATATAGGGAAAGGATTTATATACGAGATTATATCTCAGTACCTCAGATATATCCGCCGTCCTTAGCCATCGATTTACATACATTGCCCATACGTTATTTAACTTTAGAAGGCGCGTGTTTAATTAACGTACTAGATAGTCATTAATGCCCGAGAGATCAAAGTCGCCTACACTGAAGCACGCGCCCGCTATCTGACGGTACAAGGAAATGTATATCTGACAAAAAAATTAATAAAATATAACAATAAATGATAAATAATATTGTTAATTTAATTGATAAAAATAAAGAGAGAAATTTAGTTGAAAAAAAAAATTAAGTTGGTTAATTCGCGGCAAAAGATCTCAGAGTTTACGGGGAATTTGGCCGTGACCCGAGCGAGTCACGACCTTTTGACCCGACCGGGGGGACTAATTGGGATAAGAGTCGAAGGGAATCTATCCTGAGAGTCAGATCGTTCGTTGGTTAATGCTCGTATCGTGGAAACAAAGAGATAAGTGGTGCTTTAAAACAGATGAGATGAGATGAGATGAGATTATTGACTAATTAACTCGTCTTACTCAAAGGGAGTCATTTTCACTTACAGTTTACAGCGAATTAACGAATAAATCATGTCGGTCAGATAAATTTAAGATTTATCGCCGGTGCTTCAGTTCATGTTAAGTAAATATATATAAATATGTGTGTATGTTTATATTATCTATTATATATTAATATTTATTGGAGGCTCATATGTCCGGGTAATTAAGTTAGACGGGGTTAACGCCATTGGGGTCATACCAGTTAAGTCAAAGGTTTATTAATCGTCTCGATGGAGAAAGACTTTTAAATGTTAATAATTTCTCGTGTAATATGTAACGTGGGTGTATTACTTAACGAGTTTTTTTCAGGAGATAAAAATATTTAAAATTATTATTATTATTATTATTATATTTTATGTGTTGAATTTACTGACCTTGAATTTGCTTAAATCATTTGAGACGAGATTTGAATAAAAAGTACTTTGCTAGTATAGATGTAGCTTAGCAATAATCATAATAATATAAAGAGAGTATAGTTATTGTATATTGTATCTCAAGTAGTTGTTTTGGCTTTAACATAAAAAGAATTTAAAATGAGAAAAAATGTTAGTCCAGTTGGAGATAAAATTTGAATGAGGAAAAAACCTGAGTCATGTTTTGGATTATGAGTTTTGCGAGTCGTATGGTTATGACTCGTTATTTTTATAATTTATTATTACTACTTGCTTTGGCAATACCGATAAAAAGATAAAATTATGAAATAAAATTTTCCATCTTTCATTTTTTTACTGTTTAATCGATTTTGCTATTAATGATGAAAGTTTGAATTATTTTTTTCTTAGATTGAAGTTTTTCAGCTAAAACTCAGCATCTTACGATGTCAGAGACGTTTTTGACGATTTCTGGGAGCCAAATTGTAAAAAATATATGATAGGCAATGAAACAGTTGATAAAAAATGGGATTTTTACTCTTTGACGTGAACTTATGGATGAAAATAAAATTAACAGACATCTAACAATTTTTAGAATTTTTCTTATTGAAGAATTTGTAACAAAAAGATTTTGTTTTAATTTGAAAAACAATAGGTGCAATTTTTTTTTTTAAATAATTGAGCAAATATTTGATAATTTTAAGAATTTTTGTTACAAATAAATTATAAAAAAAAAAATTTGGCACGTAGAGTTTTTAAAGACTTAAAAATGCAATTTTTTAAAAATTATTTTTCAGATCAAATTTTATAATAATAAAGTTAGCCGACATTTTTAATTTTTTGATTTTGCTTCATTTATTAAATTAGAACTAAAAAATGTTTTTTTTTTAATTTGCACTTACAGTTTTTCAAATTTTCTACATGTCAAACTTTTTTTTTGTTAGTAATAATTTTTTTTTATTAAAAAAAATTATAAAAATTTTTAAATGTCAGCTAACTTAACTTTCATTCAAATTTTATTGTTAAGAGAATGGTCAAGTGGCTGCTAACTTTAGTGTCATATACTTATGACAATAAAGTTATGCGACATCTAAAAATTTTTAGAATTTTTTTTACTGCAAAAATTATTTTAAAAAAATTAATTGAAAAAAACTCACATGTAGAAAGTTTTAAAAATTATACGTGCAATTTTGTAAAAATGTTTTTTTTTTTGTTCTAATTTAAATGATAAAAAAAACTAAAATTATTGAACGGCGGCTAATTTTAATGTCATCGTATACTTTTTTAATTTTTATTTAATTAATAAAAAAAGTAAAAAAAATTTTTAAATGTCTGCTGGATTGTTTATGACAAAAAGAAGTCTCCGAATTTTGCCAGTGTTTATTGTTGAGAATTATTTTTTCGTCAGAATAAATTCATAAATTTAAATAATAAATAATAAAATGAATTACGAAATATGTTTAACATGACACTTACACGGAATCATCCATTTAATTTTTCTTCGGTTGGATAAGTATGTTAGGTAAGATACTTATTGTTTAATGTAACACTTTTATTGTGATTAATGAGACAAATACAATAACTTCACGTCAAATAAAACTTTTGAACGGATAAAACTCACGTAAAACATACGACGATCACCCGCTCAAGTCACTTGAGCCGCCATCTTGTGGTCCGATAATGAACAACCAATGATGTAAGAGATGCGCACTCTTTCGATAAGTAGAACGCGCATGCGCGTGACAGTTTAGTAATTTGGCGGGAAAATTTATATAAAATTAAATTAAACAAATAAAAAAATTAATTAAATTAAAAAATAAATTGTATTTTAGTTTGAATTTAATTTATTTATGCTTATAAAATTTTCTTATTTTTATTACATTTTATAATAATAATATTTATGTAATTTCAGTAATTAAAAAACAAATTAGGAAAAATCACTGTAACATTTGCACGCCGTATTTATTATCATAAATGTACTGAAAGTGTATGTACATCGATTATATAAAAAGAAAAAAAAAGGAAGAATTCTTAATGATAATTAATAATAAAAAATAAAATGACACAATGTTTATAGTTGGTGTACAAACAGGCGAATATTAATTTCTTGGCGCTGAGCTGCTGTTGCCTGGAGCAACTGACATTTCGCCACCTTGAGAACTTTCCCGTTGTGGGCACTAATAATTAAAATAAATGTAAATGCTTAATTACTAAGACACAAATACGACTTCATTGATTTTTGGGTTACAATAATCTAATAATATGTTTATTTTTTCCCGGATTTATAGAAAATATATATTTTACAAAACCCAAAAATAGGTGGAGCGTATTTTTGTTTTTTATTTTATAATAATCAACTTATCCAAAATTATTGTCCCTATCTAATACCTTGACATGGATATGATGTTTGAGAATAGCAGCTCTCAAAATGAGCATTCTTGTTCGTCTCTGATACTCTTTTCCCACACTTATAGACTTTTCAAAGGTTGTGCTACGCTGATCAACGTCTTTGGCATATAAAATCTGCAATAAATAAATAAATAAATCATCAATAATTCATAATTAAATCCCTTAAATAATAAATTGAAAATCAGTAGGGTAAAAGACCTTTGATTTTAATTCTTTAATAGTTACCTTATAAATAATATTTAGTTATTAATAATATTTACCTTATTATGCGAATCAATACGAGCTTGGATCTGTCCATCCAAGATAAGTTGCATAAGTTCATCTTCTAAAGCCGGGACGGTCCTATTGAACGCAACAGCCATGCGTCTCATATCAGCGCTCAAGTAAGGACTGAAATACTGTATCAAAGCACGATTGCGAATCTGTGTATACAGCAAAGTAACATGAGGCGCAATGTACATGTCCAGCAGAATGTTGTCACGTATTTCGTCCAATAATTTCAAACATGAAGCGTACTTAGACTCGTAGAATTTAAAAATAATGTCTCGTAATTGCGGCTCGAGTTCCAAGAATAATTTAAATGAACTACTTTGAATAACTAGCTTCTGTAGCTCGGGTCTGTCGAAGGTAGCCAGCGCACAGAGTCCTCCGTACAGTGCGACGTTTCCTGGAGACAACAGATCCGGGCAATCACAGTGGTCAAGAGAAGCTTGGAGGAAGTGTCTGGCAGCGAGCTTGTATTTCCTCATGGCCAGAGCCGCCAGTCCAGCCGCGACTTTCAACTTAGTTATTATAGACTGGTTGTTGTCTTTGCTATGAAGATCAGGAAAGTCCGGTGCGTTCTCAGCTTTGGAGACGTAGGTCAGCACGTGGGTCCAGTTTTGAAGGTAAACTGATACTTTTATAACGTTGAGACACATGTTAACTACGTGCTTTCCGCTGGTGCAGTAGTCTCGAGCCCGCGAGTAACATTTCAACGCGTTTCCAAGATCCCCGCAGTCTAAATAGTGATCACCAAGATCGTCGTGGCCGCGTCTGATGCTCTCTTTGATGGAATTGCTGCGGTAGTTCTTCAAATCAGTATCAAACTTCTCTAATTTTAAAGCTGCTTTCTTGGATTTGTTCTCAACCCACATCTGGTTGAGTGTCGGGATGTCCTGGGACGTCGACTGCGCTGCTACGTCCGGCAATCCGGGAGTTCCCAGAGCTTGGAGCAATTTTTTGTGCAGTATTTGATACAGATTAACGTTGTAAGTCGTCATTACATGAGTTATCGCCATTTTGAGAGCCTCAACTCTCAAACTTGGACAGTGATCTGCGATGTAAATCAACCGGTACAATTTTGCCAATCCGGTGTAACTGTTTGCGTAAACTTCCAGGTCCTGAATAAAAATAAAATTACAATTAAATGAAGGACATGGTCATTAATACGTAAAAAAGTCTTGATAAATCCACGCAGTGTGAACATAAGGGCCTTAAATCCACGCTGGGTGAATGTAATGGATGACACTGAAGTTAGCAGACGTCTAAAAATTTTTTAGTTTTTTTTTTTTTAATTAAATTACAACTAGAAAGATATTTCTAAAAAATTGCACTTATAGTTTTTCAAGTTTTTAAAATGTGAATTTTTTTTTTAAATTGTTTAATTGAAATTTTTGATTTTTTTATTTGGCTTAATTTATTAAATTATAGCTAAATAATATTTTTAAGAAATTGCACTTATAGTTTTTGAAGTTTTTAACAAATGAAAAAATTTTTTTTTTCATTTTTTTGTCATAATTGATTTGTCAAAAAAATTCTTAAAAACATTAAATATCTGCTAAATTAATTTTGATTGTTACTTAGACTGTCAAATAAAATAAAATATTACCAGTGTTGGATTTTCTACAACGTAAGGTTCCTCTTCAGTGTTATCATTGTCTTCTGGTGGTGCGTCGACTTGCATCGGCTCCACGGCATTCTGTTGTACAAACGAAAACATTTTGGCCTCCTTGAACTCTTTCTCGTTGAAATAAATTCGTAAATTGAAATTAACTGTTTATTTTTCGGTATATTTTTCAGGAAACCTGTCGAAAGTAACCTCAAATTAGTATCACTTGTTATTTTTATATATTAATTTTAATTGCAATTATTTTAAAAATTTAAATACCTCAAGTATCATCACTTTTAATCAGACACATTTAGATTTTAAATAAATGATATTTATTAATTTAATATTAATAATTAATAAACAACAAGCTTGCTACGGTTTAAAGGATAAATGGTGAAAAAGTCAACTCTAACCTGTAACAACTGTTCAACCTAACTCTTATTTTTACAAGCCATCTTGTGGATTTACTTTGCACTTTTTTTTAATTTACCAGATGTTGTTACTGTCAATTTTTAAGTTAGTATTTCAGGGCCGTGTATTGACAATCTTAAAAAAAATGAAAAAGTAAATATTATACAGATGAATAACGTGGTTTTTATCATTATTAAATAAACAAATAACTCATGACAACTCATTTTGTAATAACTAAATTTATTTGATTAAAATTATAAAACAAACTAAATTATTTTATCACCGTTAATTAATTTATTAAAATTTTATGATTGAGTTAAGAAAATCTATTGACAAATTTTAAGGTTCAACTTTAAATAAAGGTAAGAATTTTTTAACTTTTTTAAATTAGTCAATTAATTAAATAAAATTACATTAATTTATTTTCTAAAACAATTTTACTTACTTGATTAATTTTAATTTAATAGAAAATGGCAAAGACGTTGGGCAGCAAAAATAAAAAACCCGAAAGTGACGAGGTGACCCACGTGGAGAAAAAGTCAAAGAAAAAGAGCAAGGCTGTTGAGCAAAATGATGAAGAGCAAGTGGTTGAAAGCAAAGTTAAGCAGAAGAGGAAAAAGAATAAGGAGGAGCCCGTCGAAGAAGTTCCGGTGAAAAAAGCTAAAACTGATGAAGAAAGGTTTGTTTTTAGATGGAGATTTATTTTTTTAGAATTTTATTAATTAAAAATTTTTGACAGCATTGAGGATGTAGATGAAGATGTAGCGGAATTACATGAAGAAGGCAAGATAAGAAAAATAATAAAAAAGTCTGGGGAAAAAGGTCCTTCGAAGAGAGAGCTGAAAAGGAAACGATTGGAAGAGAAAAATGCCCAGATAAAATTGGCTAGCAAACAAGAAGCTATGGATAAAGCTTTAAATTATGTTTCTATGGTAATTTATTTATTAATTTAGTATCCCTGACAGCCAACGCTTTCTTAGAAAGTAGTTGACTTCTAGTAATTCTTCACTCAACAACAGTTGTATGGCTGCCCAATTTTAAAACACAGTAACTGCAAAATTTTTATACCTAACTTTTTCTAATATTGCTGCATTTTTTATAACTTTTAGACCTTAATTTCAAGTATTTTTTCTTTAAAATATTTATATTCAAGTATTTTCTATTCACAAATCAAATTTTTCATCAATTTGGCGGGCAAACTTTTTTTTCTAATAAGAAAAATTGAAAAAAATTTTTAAATGTTAATTACTGTGTTTTGAAATTGGGCAGCCGTGTAAGCAAATTGACGGAAATCTACGGCCGCAGCTTAAATACAAGTTAACAATTAAACTTGTAGTTAAATTTCTTTTCAACTTTACTACATTTGACTGAAATACTTGTACAGCAAGTTTTGACGTCTATTTGCAGAGTAACTTATAGGTAATCGCTTGCTTTACTAACTCTTTCCGTCAAGTTTGTTTTAACCCCTGACAAGGACACTGGGTAAAAAGTACCCACCCCAAAATTTTATTTCGTTATAATTCTTTGTGTATATTTAAACTTCGATAGTATTTTTATCTATTTTAATTGGCACTAATTAATTTAAAATTATATCTATTTCATAGAGAATTTTTTGAGCTTTGGTTTAAAAAAAAAATTCTTTAACTTTATTACGGACCAAGATATTTGAAAATGAAATATGTTGGGTACTTTTCACCCTCAATGCCTAAAGAGGTATACGGTTTAGATGTGTGCTTAGCAGGGGTTAAATTGCGGACGTAGATTTACAGTAAGTTATAGGTAAGGTGGCTATTAGGGATATTGCTTGATTTTGTATTAAATTATTTTAATTAAATTTTTTACAATAGTGGAAACACGCAAAAAGCCAATGGAAGTTTGAGAAACTCAAGCAAATTTGGCTGATGGACAATTTACTGGACCAAGAATGTGTTCCTGACTCTGTTTTCCCGACAGTTCTTGAATATTTTGAAGGCTGCAAAGGCATGGCTCGTGAAACTCTGTACAAGAAAGGCGTCGAAGTGATTAAAAAATACGAGCAGAATCAAGAAAAAGAAGATGAGACTGACGAAGTAGTTGAAACTGTGGAATACAAACGCGCTAGAGAACTTTTGCAAGCTTTACCGACAGAAAGTTAAACGAGATTTGAAGATTTAAAATATATTTCGACTAATTAAAAATTATCCTCTGTATCAGCTGTTAAATTTTTGTGTTTATAGGCAAATTCCAATATTATTTAATGCAACTTTAATTTTTGTACATAATACGGCGTCAAGCTGTACAACAAAATAAATTTTATTTAAGAAAAGAAAATTCTTGGACAAGCTTATCATTTATAAACATTTTTAATTTCTATTTAAAAAATTCAAACAATTAAATAACTAAATTAAATCTTGAATTTATTTTCTTCTATTGATCGCATTTATGGGTCTGCGTATTTATCAACGAATTGTCTGAGTTTGTCTGTGTCCTGCAGACCGACAATTCGTTCCAAAACTTTGCCGTCTTTCATTGCCATGATAACTGGCACTGTTTGAACCTGTTTATAAAATATATTTAATTATTTAGTGACTTGATAAAAAATTATTTTTTTATTATTATTTAAAATTACCTGGTAATCCATGGCTAGTTCAGCATTTTCGTCAATATCAACTTTGGCTAGCAGTATTTTTCCCTGTTTCTCAGCAATAACTGACTCCAAACGCGGAGTTAACAATCGGCATGGATTACACCATCTAAAATAATTAACATAAATTTTTATTATATATTGTATATAAATGATAATTATTATTTTAATTTATGTAGAGATAAACAAATTCTTACGTCGCAAAAAAATCAACGATAACAGGAACTTTTGAGTTTTTAACTCTTTCAGTAAAATCTTTGTCATCTTGAACTTTGAAAGCAGGAGAAACTGAGCTTGCAAATGGACGAACTTGAGAAGTTATTCCGAAAAAACGGGTACTGACTCTCAGCATTGTGATTTTTTATAAACAAAAACAGAGTTAATTTTTAATGAACAAGCACTGGTCAGACTTATCAATAGAAGTATATTTTATAACCTCTAATTCATCCGCTGCGCGTCAGTGATAATTTATAAATTGCACTGCGCACTGTAATCAGCCGAAGCGGATAATTTGTAATGAGAAAAATTATTTTATAAATTTTATATTTAATATTTTTAAACTAAAGAGTTATTAAATAATTTCAGAATCGTGTGAAATGAAAAAAAAAAAAAAAAAAAAGAAAAAGAATCAAGGCAGGCATGTATTATATATTTTTTTTTTAATAAATTCACAGTGTTTTTATAGAAATTACTCAGTTTTTTTGCAAGATATTAAAGTTACAAGACTTGATTATTTTTTAGTTTTGTTAAACAAATAAATTTATTCCAAAAAGTTATTTTTGAAAAATTGCATTTTTAATTTTAAAAAATTTCATTTTTTTTTGCCATCATTTATTTATTACAAATATTCTTAAAATTATCAAATATCTGCTAATTTAATTTTCACTTTCTTGTTGTATTTTTTATATTAATAAACACTTTTTCTTTTTAAATACAAGTTTTATTTTTTATATAAAAGTGCTGAGTAATTTAATAATTTGTTGACTTTATTTTTTAATATCAAAAATAAAAAATGACATATTTCAGGCTCAATGAAAAATTATCATACCGTCAAATTAATAATTAAGAATACTGCTAATTCACATGCATTTATCCATATTATTATTGATTTTATCAATAATACAATTAAATAATATACGTATGTACTGTCATTCATTAAAGATGTCTTCTTTTATAATTATTATTATGTCCTTCGTTTTTCATTAATGTTTAACTTTTGAAGTTGCGGAACCGGCTGAATTGAAGAAAACATCTCTAAGAGAACCATATGCTAGCTTGAATTTTAACACATTGAGTAATTTAAAGCATTTTATATTATCAAGAATTATGAAGGTTTAATATAATAATTTATTGGGCTACTTTAAACCTATATATTGCTCATAATTAAAATTTTTTCTTCAATGAACTTTTTAAACGTTCTAAATAATTTAAAAATCTTTTCTTCTATTTAAAAAATTAGATTTTGACTTTTTAAACAGTTTAATTTTACATTTTTAAAATATAGTTTCAACTCAAAAAATTTTTTTAATTAATTGACAATAAAATCAAAACTTTCAATTTCATCAATGTTTACTCAAATTTTTTAAACATCAAGTAATATATAAACAATTTTTAATCCAATAAAATCCTTAAAAACTTAGGAAAAAAATTTTAACTCCATCTCAGCAATTTTATTAATTCTAACTTAAAAATTTTTTCAAAAAATCTTTCAAAAATATTCAAAACAATTTTTACCGATAAAAATTAACAAAATTTTATTCTTAGATTAAGCCTAAGTAATAATTTTTAATACTTGTCGGAGTAGAATGAAACACACCATGGGTTGAAGTCAGTAAGGTGAAAGACAAAATGCTTCAAGCGTTCATTTTTTTAATTCAAAATTTCAAATGAAGTTGAAGTTTTTAAAATGTCACCGGGCAGCAGGAAGCAGAAGAGCCAGGGAAGTTGAAGTTAAGGGCGTGATGCATCTATCAGGTGGATTGGAACTACATCAGTCCACATGCATAGCATATTTATAGGCAGTATACATATAATGTATGCGTATGCGTGAAGCTGAAGAATTCTTCCCTTCAAGAATTAATTTGTGAAGCAGAGTTGAGCCTAAAATCTTAAATCCTCTTTTTTTCAAGCAAAGGTTTTCAACTGAACAATATTTTTTTTTTTTTATTATATTAACATCATTTTCAATTAATTAACAATAATAATTTATAGAATTAATTTTTTTAGAAAAAATCCAATAAAAAAATGTAAAATACTTGCGATTTGGTAAAGAGAAAAAATTTGACGGGAGGTATAGGTACAGTTTGTCGAATTTCTTGGTAGAGCTCCTCGACGCTCATGGACTCCTGATAAATTGACTCACATCAAAGTGAGATTAATATTTTTTACCGCATATCACCCTTAATATCATCAGCTCTGATATTATAATTACACATATGGCGTACCATGTGTGTACTGCTACTTAGTTGTTTATCCGGTAATTATCCTTTCGGGGAAAAAAGTATTATTCAGTTCCTCCGAATTGGTCTGACACATTTTTTAAACCCAAATTCGTGAATACCTCCCCGAGTTTCTGCTCTCCTGCTCTCTTCTGTAGCTACTGGGTCAAAGATTGTAAATTTTCAGAACGGTTTAGTAAAATAGCTTCATCTTCCTTTACATTTTGTGTAACAAGGTTCCTAAATTTTAACAAAAAAAAACACTAAAATTAAAATTTCTTCTTCAACTTTAGTATCATCACGCCAACAAGTCTTACCTCTGCATTTCTCGTGTATTCCTAGTGATCCGAGTGTCTGAAAAATTGTTTTTTAGTTTTTATTTTTAAAGAAACACACTCATGACTGTAAAATCTAACATAAGGCTATTTATCAATGCCTATCGCATCATTTTATCATTTTATTTCTAGTAAACATAAAATGATAAATTATTTTATGTTTAAAAATTTCCTCAGTTTTCATGTTTTAATTCTTATGTTAATTTTTTTTCATGTTTCAAGTTATTTTTATTTTTAAATTGAGGATGAGTAACGAAAAAAATAGTACGTTAGGGGCGTTAAAAAAACGTTATCCGGGGCCTGATGCATGTATAACGTTCAGGTATTCGAGCGGGTGTACATTTATTTCTATACCTGCCCTATTCATAAAATCCAGATTAGAAACTATATATATAGAGATTGTTGAAATTTTACTCGTCAATGCTAACTATCATCACCTGTACTTTTTTGTTATATTATATATTTACATATATAAGTACGTACTTTTTTATTTTGCTTAATTTATTAAATTATAACTAAAAAATATTTTTAAAAAATTGCACTTATAGTTTTTGAAGTTTTTAACAAGTGAAAAAAATTTTTTTGTAATAATTCTTTAATAAAAAAAATCATAAAATTTTTTAACGCCTAACTTTATTTTCATTAAAAATTACTTTAATTTTATGAAAATTGATTGAGCCGATAATAATTTTTGTAATAAACAAATTATGGGAAAAATAAGTAGACAAAAAATTGACATTTAGAAATTTAAAAAAATTATATAAAAATGCATTTAATATTTAAGTTCTCGTCCATATTTAAAATATTTAAATAACTTGATCTTGGGAATTTGGACAATCTTCATTTATTGTCCAAATTTCCAAGATCAAGTTATTTAAATATTTAAAATTCAATTTTTTAAAAATAAGTTTTTTAAGCAAATTTGTTTGTTGAATTGAATTAAAAAATATTTTCTAGTGACTGCTAAGTTTAATGTAATTCTAATTTCATATAATAATTTTTTAAAAATAAATTTTATTTAAGCAGTGAAAAAATTTATCGTACTTCTAAAATTTTTTCTGCCCTCCGGCCGGAAAGTGGCAACTTTCTGGCCGCTGCGCTAAACAAAGTTGCCACATTCCGGCTACGTCGAGCAGAAAAATAGTATACACACCTTGGCCAGTAAAAAGTAAAGCCTCAGACCACATGTTTGTCAACCTCGGCTTCGCCTCGGCCAACAATTACATGTGGTCTGAGACTTTTCTTATTTTACTGGCCTAGGTATGTAATATAGTATTTCTAAAGAAATGTTTTTAAAAGATGTTTTAATACAGAATTTTTTCTTCTATTACTGAAAATGCTCCCCGCATACCAAGCGTCCTTTCTTTTCCCGGAAAATCAATTATTTCCTCTACAATTTTCTTTTTTTTTTTTTTCATTGAATTTAATTTTTCTTCTTGAAATTAAAAAAAATTTTCTTCTCCAATAAATAATAAATAATTAATAAAATTTTAAACTGACATTAAAATTGGCGCCAATTTAAAGTGCAATAACCTCTGGAAAAAAATAACAAAGAAAATAAAAGTATAAGTAAACAGTGATAAAAAAAATAATATTTATTATTAAAATAAATTATTTATATTTACTTAGCCTTAAAAATAATTATAGCAATTATTTCCAGGTCACAAAAGTTCAACAAAGATAATGAACAAAAAGGTTAAATTAGTTCTCGGAAAAGGAACTTGATGGCGCTGGGATCAATGATCGTCGTCGTGTCTCCAGTTTGCCGCAGAGTGAAAAATCCCATGCTTACATACAGTGGTATGCATTTTTCACTCCTTTTTACATAAAAATAAAACCTTTAATTTGTATATATTTTTACACCAAAATTCAGTGTACCCAAACGTCACATATTATGTGTGATATTACAGGTAATAAAAATAGCAGTGATTCCAACAAGTGATATACCGAGTGTATTTATCTAGAAATTTAATCATCGCCGTGATAACCATAGTAAAGTTTTAAAAAAACAACTCACGATGATACGAAAAGGAAAAATAAATCACTACAAATATTTTGAGTAATAAATGTAAGTAATATTAAGATTTACTCAAGTCAAAAATAAGTTTACAACTCTATACTCTATAAATTAATAATACATATATTTTTTTTTTTTTAAGGATTATTGCTAGGATTATATATAATTTTTTCTAAAACCGCTATGCGAAGTTTTCCCATGCCCGTTAAATAGAACAAACAATTATTTATTTTAGCGTTTTCATTTAATTGTGTATAGACTTTATAAAACTTGGAAATGTTTTATGTTACAATTACAATTAGCAATGACAGTGACGTGTATTTAAACTATTTTTCTCTGGTAGTAGGTATATTACATTTATGTCGCTTGTACACTGTGCGCTCTTACGCAGCATAGCAAGTATAATTTTTTTTTTTTTTTTAACAACTTGATAGAAAGTCGCATTCACGATATACTCATAATATGATTCCTCATCATGGGATATAATACATATACACTGTATTTTATGAAACAAGCTAATGGGCTCATGTATTCATATACATATATAAAATATACACTTCAAGTTACTTAAAGAAGTATATTACACACATGAAAAATATGTGGGCATTATATTACATATATATATATATATATTATATATGTATATATGAAAAATATAATAAAAATCCATGTGGGTACTCAAATGAAAGCTTTTTATGAGTGTAACATCGGGATGAGCTTATATCTTTAAAAATATCAATAGTTAAGAAAGTACAGAGCAATTTTACATAATTGAGAAACGACCTCGTATCTTGTGAACTATTGACATTTTTAAAGATATAAGCTCATCCCGATGTTACACTCATCGAGACCTTTCATTTGAGTACCTACATCAATTTTTGATATATTTATATATATTATATATATATGTATATATGACGAATATATCAAATATGCATGTGGATACTCAAATGAAAGCTCTTGATGAGTGTAACATCGGGATGAGCTTAGATCTTTAAAAACGTTAATAGTTTAAAAAATACAGTGCAATTTAACAATAGTCATTATTTAATAAAGCAAAATTTTATTTATTTATCGTTCACAAGTCCCGGCAGTCACATAGTGACTGCAAAGTTGCTAGTAAATACTTATTTAGTTATTAAAATTTTATATTGTATCTAACATTACTGAGGAGACGGCGGCCAAAGGCCATTTATTATTAATTAATAACAATTTGTTTAACATTAGTACTCAGATTAAATAATCATAGTATTACATTCTAGAGTATATAGAAAAATTAGGAAAAAGAAAAAGAAAAAATAACAAAATACAAAAAGTTAAAACTTCAGGGGATTATTATGTTTTCATTTGTTCTCAACATTTTTGTTAACTAACTTATTGTTTTTATTTTTTGCAGCAAATTTAATAACGAAGAACAATGGCAAGCAAGACTGAAGACTCTGTTTCTGTGGACAATGCTCCTGATGGTTAATTTTTTTTTTTAAATATTATTTGTTTATACACTTTGTAGTTTTTAATCAATTCATCATGCTATTGTTATGCTAAAAGTAGTTTATTTCTAAAGATTGTTTTAATTTATCGGTGAATTAAAAAAATATTTTTAAAATACGTACATAAAAATTTAAAAGGCATGTATTTTTTCTTTTTAATCTATTATTTGTTTACAAGTATAAAACTTTATTTTATTTTTTAAAAAGAATTTTATTTAATTGTGATTATTATTGCAAATAATTGTATAATTTCAAGATCCTTGCAAGGTCAGAAAAAATGATAGTTTGCAACCAATAGTTATTTATAATAATTATAAATTATAATGTACGATATCTTCGAAAGTTATTTTTCTTTTTTTATAACTATAAATTACGTTTGATCAAAGAATCAGTTTATAGAATCGATTGACCAAGTAGGTCAAAGGTTTAAACACCCATAACTAAATACTAAGCTGGTTATTTTTAAAAAGCACTCTTAGTATCTATCTACGTGAATCATAAGTTTGCCCTTTTTCAAAGGCTAAATGATTAAGCGTAGTAATAAATATTAGTAGTTGATATTTCGAGTATCAAGTGACATTAAGTAGCTAATAAATATCAAATGTTACAGGTAGCGTCGATAAAGAAATATTATCATTAAGTGGATCAAACAACTCCAATCACCGTGTACCTCCTTATATATACAATGGAGGATCTGAACAAGTGCGTGAAAATTTGGAGCACGATAATCTTAATCATTTTCGTCCAACTTCAGAAGACCAATTAGGACCATTGCCACATAATTGGGAGAAAGCTTACACCGAAACGGGAGAAGTTTATTTTATTGAGTAAATATAATTACTTTTATTTGAATTATTGGGTGACCGTCTTATTTATCATGTAATAATTACCTACGACAAAATTTCTCATCAATAATTTTTTATGCAATATTTTTTTCATGGCAAAAATATCTTCGAATATATTTTCTTATACCAAAACTTCTCATTAACTCTTAACATAATTAAATTTGAAATTGACATTAAATAAATATTTATTCATTTTAAATAAAAGGGCACAACACGGTGTCTATCCGAAAATTAATCACGGATCATTTGTCTTAAGGTGCAAATGACGAAACTAAAATATGTTTCTAATGAATTGTACAGAACTAATTGTGAAACAAAAATAGCTACTTACCTAAATAAATATATTATTATTATTATTAAGGGGGAAATACGTTTAGAAGGTCATTTTCATGCTTTCATTAATTTTTTTAAGGTATAAAAAATTAATATTATTTATTGAAACTATCAGAAGATATCAGCTGATACACATCGTAGGTTGTCATCCGACTTAGCAGTTGATGTGCAGTTGGAAGCCACAATTTTTATCTGAAATTAATAGCACAGAAAAATTACTTTTTTTATATGTGTATCTTCTATATGAACCTCAATTCCAAAAAAAAAATTAAAAATTTGCATTTTTTAGAGGGCTGTGAAATTAAGCCGTGATTTTTTACCATTTTTTCATACATTGTTTATTAAAAAAAAAATAGTTTAAATAATAATATCGCTTGTGATGGAGGCTCATATTCAGCGTAATTGTATAAAGAAAAGTAATTTCATCGTAGGTTGTCATCCGACAGCAAGTTGATGTGCAGTTGGAAGCCACAATTTTTATCTGAAATTAATAGCACAGAAAAATTACTTTTTTTATATGTGTATCTTCTATATGAACCTCAATTCCAAAAAAAAATTAAAAATTTGCATTTTTTAGAGGGCTGTGAAATTAAGCCGTGATTTTTTACCATTTTTTCATACATTGTTTATTAAAAAAAAAATAGTTTAAATAATAATATCGCTTGTGATGGAGGCTCATATTCAGCGTAATTGTATAAAGAAAAGTAATTTTTCTGCGCCATTGATTTCAGATAAAAATTGTGGCTTCCTTAGTGCACACTAACTGCTGTCGGATGACAACCTACGATGTGTATCAGCTGATATCTCCGCTACCTGTTAAGTTATATTGTCGTAAAATATGGAAAGATATAAATACATGTATTTATTTATTTATTTATTTATTTTTCATTACATAAGCCCAACAGCCTAAGGGGCCAATAACAGGGCTACTTAATTTTACAAGTTGAAGATTTTGACAGTGTTTAATACTTAAATTAATATTTGGCTCTATATAAACTAAAAATTTTTAATTTTTAAAATTAGAGTGATTTTTATAATCATCAGATGACTTAGTAGCTATAGTAATAAGAAAAAAAAAAAAAAAGAAAAAATATAATATAATGATGAATTACGACTACATTACTACTAAAAAGAATTACTACTAAAAAGATTTTATTAAAAAAAAAAAAGATTTAAAAAGATTAAAACGATTTAAATTGACTGCTATATATAGATATGCAATTGCCTGGAGTGAATCTTTTCAAATCTTTTTTTTTAATAAGAGATAACCTGATAGTTTCAATAATTTTTATAGCTTAAAAAAATTAATAAAAAATCAGCATGAAAACGTCTTTCTACACGTATTTCCCCCTTTACACTGAGAAAAAAAAAATTTTCTCAAGAGTAATACTTTTTTTTCTCAGTGTAAATGATGATTAATTTATGTTGTGATAAATTTTGTTTTAAGAAATTATTGTACTTGAGATATTGTTATGAGAAATTTTGACGTGGGTAATTTTTGCAAATTAATAAACTCGGGGAGCCGAATTGCTGTACTTGAAAATAAAAACACATGATAAATAATATTTTTTATTTAAAAGTCACAACACAGGTACGTCTCATTGGTTAGACCCACGTCTCTCAAAATTCCAAAAGCGTTCATTGGAAGAGTGCCTTGACGACGAGTTACCTTACGGATGGGAAAAAATCGACGACCAGTTATATGGAACATATTTTATCGACCATGTAAATCGCCGAACGCAGTATGAAAATCCAGTTTTACAAGCGAAGCGTGCTCAGCAGATTTTAACAGAGCGTAAAAGTCCGAATTTTACCCGGAATCCAAAGAAACTAAAAGGCCAGCGGATCCAAACCACACTTATCAAAAGCTCCCGCGGTTTGGGATTTACAATCGTCGGCGGTGACGACACAGTTGAGGAATTTCTACAGATAAAAAGTGTCGTGCCAAATGGTCCAGCATGGCTCGACGGAAAATTACAAACAGGCGATGTTTTAGTTTACGTAAATAACACCTGCGTTCTGGGATTCACCCACAATGAAATGGTGAATGTGTTTAAGTCAATAGCAAGCAGTGAGACGGTGACCTTGGAAGTATGTCGCGGCTATCCACTGCCGTTTGATCCGAATGATCCCAATACCGAAGTAGTAACTACGATAGCCGTGAACGCTCCAGACATGATGCCGGACGATCCGAGTATCTATTTGGAGCTAGATCCAAATATGCAGAACGACAACCGATTTGGCTTTCTCGACTCTTCGTTCTTGCCCGTACATGGTCTCCAAAATGGCGAGAACTTAGCTACCGCTTCCGTTAACTCAATGCCAGATCTCTGTATCTCCGATAAAATAAATACTATTAAACGACCGAACAGTACTGACATATTACTGTCCGATTCTACGGACTATAACGACCGGAAAGAGTCACCACCACCTTCCAAGTCTGAGTTTCTGAGTATCCCTGTGATTAAAGGTAACCAGGGTTTTGGATTCACGATTGCTGACTCATCTCACGGGCAGAAAGTTAAAAAAATCTTGGACAGAAATCGGTGCAAAAATCTTCTTGAGGGAGACATACTTGTTAATATTAATGACGTTAAAGTCAGGAATATGTGTCACACGGAAGTTGTACAAGTATTGAAAGAATGCCCACGGAATCAAGAAGCTTTGATCCAAGTTCAGCGTGGTAAATCAAACGATAAGAAGGATAAAATAAACCAATGCTTTTTCCGTAGTAAAACACCCACTGCGGATATTTATAGCACCCAAGCCAAAACAGTGGTGCCGAGTCGTCCGAAAACGCCGCTAATAGACACGAGAAATCGCACCAAGTCTCCAGTTGTCGATGTGAATAGACCCGAGTGGCGGACTAATACTGCTGATATTAATTCAATGGATGATAGGTGCAAGTACACTGAGTACAGTACACATGATGTGTACTATACTGATCCATACAAAGATAATATGGTGGGTAATTTAGCGGATAATTTTGGCCAGATGGTAAACATGGACGACGAACCGATGAGACACATCAAACGTGAATGGCGGGTCAATGATAAGATGAGCTTACCAAATGAAATGTATAATATGGAGTCATCTCTTCATAGTCCGACAATGAAACAAAATGGAAGCATTCATCAGGATTATTACAAAGATATTTATGGCGCGCGAATGCATCCTCAATATGTTGTCCAAGATTACAATAATTATAGTATCGGGCAGGAACAAAATGTGGACACTGGTGAGATTTGGGACAAGCGAAAGGAAACGACGAGCTTTGAACATGAGCAACCACGCTCTAGCTCGGTAGCTAGGTATCATCCGCAATATGGCAATGAAATGGTTTGCCCGACGATACCTGATGTTGAGTGGATTGAAACTTTGGTGACGCTGGTAAGACAGGACTCCGGATTTGGATTCAGGATAGTCGGTGGTACGGAAGAACATTCTCAAGTATCTGTTGGACACATTGTACCTGGTGGAGTTGCTGATATTGACAATAGGCTCAATCAAGGGGACTTGATAATGTCTGTCGATGGCGAGAGTGTAATGAACTCCAGTCATCATCATGTGGTACAGTTGATGATTGCTGCTGCGAGAAATGGTAGAGTTACTTTGGGAATTAGGCGACGGATTAATGCTCAAGATTTGCAACCGTCGTATGACAGCGGTCGACCGATGAATATGCAGTATCCGTATGATGTTGCTGTTACGAGGATGGAAAATGAAGGGTTTGGATTTGTTATTATTTCTTCGGTTAATAAGGCTGGTTCGACTATTGGGAGGATTATTGAAGGATCTCCTGCCGAGCGATGCGGTAGGCTTGAAGTTGGGGACCATATTCTTGCCGTTAATCATGTTGATATAACTAATCTTTGTCATAAGGATATTGTTAATTTAATTAAGGACTCAGGGTACTCTGTTACGTTGACTATTGGATATCCTATTGATGATTGTTGTAGTACTACATCAATGTCACAAAAGGTATTATTATAATTATTATCTATATTAAGAGAATGAGAAAATTTTGTCTCCAGGATATATTTTTCATATATTTATATATATATATATGAAAAATATATCAAAATGCATGTGGGTACTCGAATGAAAGCTTTTGATGTGAGTAACATCGGGATGAGTTTATATCTTAAAGAATGTCAATAGTTAAGAAAGTACAGTGCGATTTAATAAATATCTTGTGAAATATTGACATTTTTAAAGATATAAGCTCATCCCGATGTTACACTCATCAAGACCTTTCATTTGAGTACCCACATCAATTTTTCATATATTTTATATATTATATATATAAATATATGAAAAATATATCAAAAATGCATGTGGGTACTCAAATGAAAGCTCTTGATGAGTGTAATATCGGAATGAGCTTATATCTTTAAAAAGGTGAATAGTTAAGAAAGTACAATGTAATTTAATAAATATCTTGTGAACTATTGATTTTTTCAAAGATATAAGCTCACCCCGACATTACACTCATCGA